ATGCAGGTTGTATGGATTCTAGAAAATGTATTTCTGAATATGTGTTCACTATGTTTGGCACAACAATTAGTTGGAAAGCAACACTTTAGAAGGTTGTTGTCTTATCAACCACTGAAGCGAAATATATCGCCCTAACTGAAGCTGTGAAGGAAGCATTGTAGCTTGAAGGTTTTACAAAGGAGCTGAAACTTCAAGTTCGAGTTATCACTGTTAAATGTGATAGTCAAAGTGCAATACACCTGTCGAAGAATTCAATCTATCATGAACGAACCGAGCACATTGATGTGAGACTGCATTTCGTCAGATGGGTAATCGAGCGTGGAGAAGTCCGAGTGCTGAAGGTTTCGACAAATCATAATGTTGTTGGTATGATCACCAAGACGTTGCCCAGTTGCAAGTTTTTCCATTATATGAAGTTGATAAAGTTGCTTGAAGATAGCTAGTTTGTTTCTTGATGGTAGAGTTAGGTCCAAGGTGGAAATTTGTGAGATATTGGATCGAACTCTAGTTACCATTGTCGTCGAAGTTTGCTCACATGTTGTTGTTGAAGACCTACATGCTGTAGTCGAATTGTGTTCTAGTATGTAGTTTTCGAATTGGGCCTTGTGTTAAAGGTTCAATTGTTTAAGTTAGCTTGTAATGAGTAATTGTTAAAAAGCCAATTAGTTTAGTATGTTAGGTTTTATTATAAATAGCATACTAGTCTCTCATCTTAAGGTGTGGTGTGACAAATCCTAATTAGGGTGAGAGGGTTATTTGTTATAGAGAAAGTAAAGAATAGCAGTTATAACCAATTCTTGTTGTTTTTTTCCTTGTTAACCTTAACCCTTGTGTGTTTCTTGCCTATAAAGAAACTGAGTATGTTGTGTTTTAAGTCATACTTTTTCACAACACCCTCTATTCCTTTTTAAGTGTCACTTTTTGAACAATTTTTTGCTTCTTTTTAATTGTCACTTGCAGAGTGCAGGGTAGTATTAAATGCACTTTTGTCAAAATTACCCCTAAATAATTATTACAAAGAGAGAAAAAATAAAATGAATATAATAAATAATCAGGGGTATTATAGGTAAAAGGAAAATTATTGTATAAAAAGTAATAATATTAATTAGTTTTCTTAGTATGTGTAAAAAATCAAAAAAGTGACACTTAAAAAGAAATTGAGAGAGTAATTTATTGTGATAAACAAATTATTGTGTCATCTTTAAAATCATTTTTCTTTAAAATTTATTCCATCTATCTCAAATTATAAGTCACTTTGACAAAAAAATGTGTCTCTAATTATAAGTCACCTTACATTCTCAATATTATATTAATGACACTTTGCTCAATATTCTCTCAAGTATTTATTATTATTTATTTTTTTAACTTTTTAAATTTATTTTTTCTGTGTAATTATGAGAGACATTATTATAAAATCATACATAATTTATTTTTTTATAAAGTAATAATTAAAATTTTTTAATTTGTATAAAATGACCAAAATATCTTATAATTTAAAACGGAGATAATAGTATTCAGTAGATTTTTGTCCTATTAAGCTAATTCTACCAAATGTTTCAAATAATGATTTAAAAATCAACCCAAGAAACATTTCAAATAATTGAATCACAAAGCAATATTATCTGCAACTCAATAAATTGAACAATATAAAATAGTTGAATCATAACCTAGAGTTCTCATCTAAATTTTTTAAAGGTGAACAAGTGGTACGTCACGAGTTTGTGTCAAAAAAGAAAGAAAAAAGTGAACGTCGCGAGTTCAAATTCACATCTGTGTATTTAGTGTTCCTGCACAAATTTTTTAAAGGTGAATAAGTGGTATGTCACGAGTTTGTGTCACAAAAAAGAAAGAAAAAAGTGAACGTCGTGAGTCCAAATTCACATTTTTGTATTTAGTATTTTTCATAACTATCAACTGAACTAATTGAGTTGACTTAACGGAATTAAAATATTACTCCATCCATTTCTTTATAAATGTCTTTTTGGATAATTTTTTATTTCTTTTTAATTGTCATTTGCAAAATTTAAAGTAACATTAAATGCATTTTTGTCAAAAATACCCCTAAATAATTATTATATACAGAAAAAAAATATGATATTATAGATAAAAGAATAATTATTGTATCAAAAATAATATGCGTAAAAAAATAAAAAAAGTTACACTTAAAAAATACTAATTCACTCCTTCATAAAGTAATTAAGAACTTCAGTTAAGCATTAAATATAATATCTTTGCAACATCAATGTCTCTAACCTAGTGCAAGATATTTAAGAAAGGGTTCATTATGCATTTTAACATTTTAGAGAATAAATTTACACAATCAATAACCACTTAACATATTTGGTTAGTTTTCTCAACAAAACAGCATAATAAAACTTCCATTCTTTGTTGCTTTACCAAACTCATCCATCACCTGTAATTAGCACACAAAAGGTTTAGACATTGTTAAGAAATAATCAAAAAAAAAAAAAAAAAATATATATATATATATATATATATATATATATATATATATATATATATATATATATATATATATATATATATATATATATATATATATATATATATATATATATATATATATATATATATATATATGTAAAACTTGTAAATCAAGTTTTGTTCTATTTAATTTGCTAGCACTTCTAGTGCACACAATGTTTCAAAATCATACCGACGATTGAACCGATAAAGCTTTTAGATTATAATTCAATAAATTTATTGAGATGATAAATAAATAAATAAATAAATAGTTATTAATAAAGTACATTAAAAAATTAAACTCGATTGAATCAACTGCAATTAGATTCAACTAGTTAAGTCAAATTTAACTTTGACTAACTAGCCTCTATTCGGTTCAACCATTTGAACTATTCGAAACGACTCAGTTTGACTTTTCAAATATCGTTTTACTCTCAACTTTCTTTCATTTCTATAATCAATTATCATGTTTCCTTTTATATTTTATTTTTTCCTTTTCCATGATGTTTCATTTATGTAACAAATGTGCAACCCAAGACAAACATAAGGCAAGGAATAGATTTCTAAATTAAGCAAAATAAGTTAGGAGTGACAAAAGCAAGATGTGACATTAAACAAATTGATGTTATGTTAGGTAAAATATTTCCATTTAGGAAATGTAGTAGACAATAAAAAAGTGAGGGACATTGTTGTTTGAGTATATATTTCATTGTAAGAAACAATGTTATTGTCATTTCTTTCATTAATGTTGAAGTCAAACCAAATATGAAATAAATGAGATGAACTAAACATCCCATCAAACAAATGTTGAAGTTAAATTGTGACAACCTTTGTGTAGATTAAAACCTTCCTACTCCTATCTTGCTAGTTTTTGAATTATTGAAATCAATGTAGTTGTTTTTGGTAGGGTCTATGTGACTAGTTAGTAGAATAGTAGGATTGAATTATAGCAATGAATGGCCAAAAAATGTAATAGTGAAAGTTTGAAAATGAAATGCTTACAATTTTTTTGTATTTTAAAACTCAATGTGACAATGTTGAGATGAGTGATTAAAGGTTCACTATCATAAAAAAATAAGAGTAAATTTGTTAAAAATTTGTGTTGTTATTTTCAAGTTTACCATTTGGCATAGATAATAAATTAGTTTTTCTTTTATATTCCCTCCATTTCATGATAATTAACCTATTTAAAAAATAAAATATCTAAAATAAGGGACAACGTAATTCACATATATTAAAAAATTGAAAGAAAAATAATAGATTTATCCTTATTAAATATTTATTTATTTATTTATTTATTTATTTGTCATTACATTAAATAAATGTAAAGTAGAATATGAATGTGAAAATTTGAAAACTTCTTTTGAATAATTTTTTTTTCTATATAAAAACCCTTAAGTATTAATTTACAAGATTTGTTATTTAATTTAACATATACTTTTATTGATACTACTAATTTATTTAAAAACTTACTTTCATTAATACTACTAGCTTATTTTAAAATATAAAAAGTGAAAGCTACACATCAATATATGAATTCTATTTTTGAAAAATTAATAAATAAAATGTTTAATTATAGTCTTGATTTCTTATTTTAATTCATCTAATCTCTTTATTTAAATTCAAGCATCAATTTTTAAAAATATTTTTTTCATTAATATTTAAATTAATAACATGTCTATTTAAAAAAAAAATAATGTCATATATTCTATCACTTTCTACAAATGAAACGTTATTTAAAAATAGGTATATAATTCATTTTAAATATAAAAATATAAAAAAAATTCATTAATTTTTTAAAAAATTGAAATAGAAATACTAATTTGACAAATGAGATAAAATAAGAAAGTAAAAAATTTAATTGAGTCTAAATAGAATAAATATATTAAATTTACTAACAACTTTTTTTGAAGTATATGTATACAAATCGGTGGATATAATATTAAATAAAAAAGAGAGTAAGATTATGGGACATCTCTAGAGTAAAAGCAATAGATAATTAAAGAGTGGAAATTTATGATGTGGTAGTGGAAATGTCACAATTATGAGGATATAATATATATAATAGTATGGTAGTGGAAATTATTATACACACATTCATATAATGGACATCAACAACTGTAAAATTCCTGTTTTTATTTTATTTTTTATATTGTTGTCTGTTGATTTTTCAAAGTGACATTTTTAAAGTGACTCTCACTCTCTAACTATTCTTTTACCCTTCAACAACTTGCAATAATGCTATTTTATTTTTAGTACTTCACTATAGTCTTAACCTTTTGGTAACTTTATTTTGATCTCCATAGTAAAAAACATGGTAAAAAAAAATAATAATAATAAATTTTTTCTTATAAATATGACCAGAGAGATAGTAATTCAAATTAAATTTTTTTTTATAAATATAACCAGAGATGTAGTAATTTAAATTAATTTTTTTTTATAAATATGACCAGAGAGGTAGTAATTTAAATTAAATTAAATCGAACTGAAAATTTTACCTTATAATCAATCTCCATCTAGCTAGCAGGGTAAGCAGTATTACTTTGAACACCAATTGGAGAAGAACATTCACCATTCTTTCCACTACAATTGTTTCCCAATTGAAGTTCAGAAACACAAGGCATTGGATTTTTTCCATCAACACCGTGATCATAGAGAAACCCTTTAAAAACATGGCCACTGATATGAACCGTTGCCAAATAAGCGAATTCATCTTCTCCATTTCCAATAGCAGTTACTCTATGGCATCTGAATACAGCAGGTGCATGAACTTGACCTGGTAATGCCTCTTTGAAACCACCCTCTGCAATTCAAAATTCATCACTTCAATAATCCAAATTTCACTTATAATAAGATTTACGGAAAATTTATACAATTATATCCATTTGGTTTGAGATTAGGGTTAAATGACCCGAGTTTAAGACCGATGAAGAAAAGGTTACTAGCTTAACAACTAGTCTTCTGATTCACTGTGTATATATATAGATCAGATACATTAATTATTTGTTTATATATGAGATTAAAGAATATTAATTATGAAAAGTTACAAAGAGAGTGAAACTACCTTGATGACAAGAGCTATTAGCAAAACTCTTTGGCGTAGTTCCATTAGAATTTGAACTATGAGAAGTAGCAGTAGCATTCTGTGATGACCCTAACAAAATCTTCGGTCTCTTAACAGCAGAACAACCCTCGCCACCACCATCACCGTCACCACGACCACCAACAATCTCGCCTTCGCGATCCCGTCGACGAGTCGACGGGATCCAAGTACTCTTCAAATGAGTACTACAATCATAACCACGACCCTTACAACAAGTCCTACATCTCCTAAAAACACAGTCTTTCTTCGCTCTATTACCGCAGTCATGACAAACTCTATACTCAGAACCATACACACCGTTCTCTTCACTCTCCATCATAACCATCTTGTTATTATTGTTATGATTATGATGATGATGATGATGATGCTGCTCATCACCATCATCATCATTATGATTATTATTATTATTACTATCAGTTATCACTCCTTTTTTTGAAACCTCAGCACACATCCTAAGGTTCCAAAAGTTGTTGTTGTTATTTTCTTGAACATCATTGTTTTGAGATTGGTTTGGTTGTGGCTGTGGCTGTGGCATGCAGGGTGTGGCTGTAAGAAGTGGGAAAATACCAAAACCGACACTCAAGGAAGCTGATGAATTGTGATCTGAGGAAATGGGATGGTTTTGATGATTGTGATGATGTTGTTGTTGTTGATGATGGTGAAGAGATGAAGGTGACGGCGCTATGAGGACTAGGTCTCTTAGGCCTAACATACTCATCGGAAATGGAAGATGTGTGAGATTTTTGAGGTTTCGGAGAAAAAGGTGTTGTTGTGTTTTTTGTTTATTGAGGTGGTGCTGAATTTATGGAGATTGGTGATTTTTATAAGAGGGAATGAGAACAGAGAACATTGTGGTTCTATTCTTTTTATGCAAATCTTTATCAGATATGTTTTGAGTTTTGAGCAAAGAAAAGTTACCAAAAAAAATATAATATATATATATATATATATGATTTTTTTTAATAGTGTAAGTTGATGTATTTTATCTTAATTTTTAATAATTAATATATAGTATTTTTATTTATAAAAACAGAAATTATATATCAAGCTAACAATAACAAATGTTCTAAAGCATTATTTAAAAAAGTTATAAAAGAAAATCTTATCTCAAAAACATAAATAAATTTTTTTATTATATTAATTATCAGATATTATTTACACGCAATTTTATATTATTAATAATTATAAAAAATTATATCATTAATAGAAGAGTAATAAAAAAATTAATTGTTACTTAATTTTTAAAAAAATCATTTCATCTAAATACTTTCAGATAAATCAAATATATTTTAAACGATAATGCTAACTTGTGTCCCAAGGACACGAGTTAAAAAATTCATTTATAGTAAATTTATATTAGAAAAAATAATTTAAAAATTAATCATATATTTTAATTAAAGTTTGTACACAATTTCTCAAAGACACAAGTTATCATTATCTTATTTTAAAAATCAATTATATAAATCAACAACGATAGTCAAACATTATTCCACTAAATAAAATTATTAAATGGTCCAATCTCAACCAACAACGACAATCAAACATTATCTTACTAAATAAAATCAATTACATAAATCAACTTTCATCATAATATTTTTTTTTATTGATCAAAATAGTCACATATTATTTACAAATCGAAGTTAAATATAATTTATATATAACACATATATATTTCAACCCAATGAGACATTTTCTCAAAAGAATAAAGTCATTAGAAGTCACACACTCAAAATGGACAATACTTCATAGTCGCAGCGATACGAATTTAAATCCATCAAAATATTATATTATATGTGAAAACTCGAAGTTCATATTATACTCTTACCTCAACTTAGACAGATTTAAAAGTTGATCAAAACGATTGTGAAAACTCAACGTTCACTTATGTGCAAGTAAAGAGTTAACTTAAAATATTAAATTAAAAAAAGTATTAATTTTTATTAAAAAAATAATCTCTTTTACTACTTTGTTACTAATAAATATCATTAAACTAAATTAGGTCTCCAACTTTAGTGTAAAATTTTAGGTACTAGTATGGTCTACTGCTACAGGTTCTGACACTGAAAGTCCACTTACATATTCTTGGATTAATAGGGTGATAGGGTGGTGCTGTAATTAATATCCACAAGTTATGTGGCTACCCACATTGCATCTTTTCTGTGCCTGCATTTCTAGGTTAAGCCTTAGGTTGCGTCTTGCACGTTTTTTGTTCTTAAATTCATCTATAGTGATGAGTCATTTTAGGCTTTATGTTTTGTTGTAAATGGAAGAAAAAGACATGAGAAAGAAAATGCAACAAAACAAAATAGGGTTTCTATTTAGAGGGAAGTGGAGGGAACATAGGGTGGGTTGGGAGTAAACCGATTTGGTGTGTTTTCTTCTTTCATTTCATCCTTGTTCTACTAAATATTTCTTCTTCAAACTAATTATTTATTTATTTATTTTCATTTTTTTTACTTATTTAATTTTTTAGCAAAAATATTTATTTATTTACTTTAGACTTGTGTTTTGACACCCTCTCAATAAAGATCAATGTAGATGATAATTTTATTGATAATTTAGGATCATTGATATTGGTGATCTTTTTAGTAAAGATAGCAAACGAGTATGTCCATCTTGTTTTAACTCGTCCTGAAAAAAACCAACAAAAAAAATGGATTGGTGGAGTGGACGAAGTTGAGGGTGCGGACTTAAAAGTTTAATTTGTCTTGCAAAATAATGAGGAGAGGGCGGAACGTGTTTGCAGGGATTACACATTTTAAAATTAAAAATTGCAAAATTTTATATTAATGTGCGTGCTCACAAATGCCCTCTTTTAAAGGTTGGATCACAAAGTCTTGAAAAAAATTGTAGTTCCACCTCTAGTATTAATATCCTCTAGTATTAATGTCGAGCTACAAGCAATTTCTCAGTATTTTGATATTGCTTAGAATCATAGTCTAAAATGTGATTTGCGAGTCTAATTCTCAATTGGCTATGGAGTTTGTTCAAGATGGTGTATCTTCTACTCACTTTATGCTATTGCTAAATTGTGAGTCTCGGTTGTTCAAAAATTGAAAGTATTTTCTATTTATCGATCACTTTTGTTTAATATCTATTTAGCAAACTCTATGGGAATTCAAATCCCAAAAACTTATTTTTATGTTGTTTTCATCTTTTATCATTGGTATAAAAAAATATTATGTTTTTATTTATTTATTTATTTTAATATATTTTTTTATTTATTTAATACTTTTTAGCAAAAAGTTTATTTACTCATCCTTTTATGAAAAAAATTATATTCTTTCTTTAATTTAGGATACTTTTAAATCTAAACCTTTTAGGATTGTGACAAGCTTAATAGCCTTCGTATGGAGCAAGTGTCAATTGTTGGGCACCACTTAAAATTGTTCATTGTGGATTTTGAATACTATTACAGACGGAACTAAGACCTAACTCATTAGGCATCATGACAACATGTATGGGGAGGTAAAGTACCTTATTGTCCACACACTTTTCCAGGGTCGTCAGATCTTAATTATTGTATTTTGAGAAGATTTAAGGAAGCTATACCCAAAGAACGATCTAGAATCGTGGGACCATAAGATGGCCACGCCCTAGCATCTTATCTAATTAACTTGACTTGTTATCTGAGGACCGTTAGATAAGATGGACAATTAGATTAGATGAAATTTATCCTTTGAATTATCGTGGAAGAAGGTTTTAGGGCCTTCAAACAATGAGATGGTTACGCCTTAACATTTCATTTAATTAGGGATAACCAGCCTAAGGTCAAACAAATTTTGATGGAGAATGTCATACATGTCGACCCTAAGGTAAACTTGTAGAATGAGCCATTATCCAGAATCACCTTTTTTTCAAAAAAGACGCCATCAGCGTTCTCCCTCACAACAATGTTATCATGGTCATCATGGTACAATATGATGATTAGGATATGATGAAATTATTAATTGATCATGGGAGCTCAGCAAACGTCTTATTGTAGAACACCTTTAAATGGAGTTAGCTTGACCCAGATGACATTCAAACATTCCAAGGTTCTTTGGTTGGTCTATTAGGAGAACATGTGTAAGTGAAAGGTTGAAAAATGCTTGAAACAACGCTTGGTTCAGATGCAAGCAGCAAAATAGTCAAGGTAAAAATATCTTGTAGTAGACGTTGTTAGAACACAGATTGATTCTTTGTTATATCTCTATGTTTTGATGATAACTCTTACGAAATTTTGTATTAAGAAATTATATACTCTAAAATTTGTTCAAGTATGTTTGCTGCAGATATTAATGTTTATATACTTCTGAAAGCAAATTGGATCTGAACGTTAAACTATGCAAGACTCTGAAGCGTCAGAAGCATCTCTTAGAAGAATCTGAATGCTGCCTACAGAAGATTCTAAGCGCTGCCTACAGAAGGATCTGAAGCAGAAGCTACAGAAGCATCTGAAGCATAGAATGAAGACTTTGTATGAAGAGTTTCAAGCACAGTTTTTTCAGAAGACTCTGATAGTACTATACGCTGCAAGTACTGAGGATCTGATCCCAAACTCTGCTCTGAATTATTACACGCTGAAGCACACTTGCTGCAATGCTCTGATACAACAAACTCTGATGAACATCAAAGACTCTGATCACTCAAGGCTCTGATGTTATTTGCTGAGTATTAGAAACTTGTTGAAGAAGAATTCAAAGTTATGTCTGTTGGTTAGGCCAAACGACTCTTTCCTCATTTATGCTAGACACAAGAACTCAGACAAAAAGGATTTCTCTGTATGTTCTTCTTCTAGGAAAGGTCAAGTGATGTGAAGACAAAAAGGTTACAGCTACTTTGCAGACACGGTCTTCAAAGTGCAAACGTCTTGGACTTCTGTGCCTACAAAAGCAAGTCTCAAACACTCTTCTTCAGTGGACGGATTATTGAAAGAAATTCATTGAAAAACTCTCATACAATTTATTCTCTTTGCTGAATTTATTTCATACGTTCTTAAACTTAAGTGTAAATCACAGTTGTGATATAGCTTACTTAGAAGCATTCAAACACTTGTTTAGTTTTACATTTGATTGTAAAAGTTCCTTGAGAAGACCCAGTTGTGGCCAGTAGTTCTTGAGAAGACTAAGAACAGTTGCTCTTAGTGCTTGCTATTGTAATCAGTTTGATTAATAGTGGATTAAGTCCTTGTGGAGAAAGGCAAATCACTCTTGATAGGGTGGACTGGAGTAGTTGAGTTCAACGAACCAGGATAAAAATCCTTGAGTTTTTATTGCCATAATATTTTCTCTATACTTATTTAACCCCCCCCCCCCCCCCCTTCTAAGTATTTTCTCACCTTCAGTTGGCATCAGAGCTCCGGTTCTGTGTGTGGTACCACTTCACTGTGACAGAAAAGATTCAGTTAGAAAACTTTGATATATATTCTTGGTTGTTATTATGGCTGAAACTTTAACATCTAACAGCAACAACAGATATGAAGAAAGGGATAGAATCAGCACAAAACCCCCTATGTTTGATGGGGAGAAATTTGACTATTGGAAGGACAGAATAGAGAGTTTCTTCCTTGGTTATGATGCTGATTTATGGGACTTAGTCATTGATGGGTATGTTCATCCCACTGATGGGGATGGCAAGAAAATTGATAGAAAATCTATGACTGGAGCCAAAAAGAAGGAGTTTAGAAATCATCACAAAGCTAGAACAATCTTGTTAAATGCAATATCTCATACTGAG